TGATTATGAATGGCTATCGGAAACCATTGACCACTGAAGACATGTGGTCGCTGTCCACACAGAATCGGACCAATGTTTTCATCAAACAATTCAATAAACACTGGAAACCAATACAAAACAACAAAACTAAAAATGCAATAAATATATTCCCACTAGTGTTGAAGACCTATTGGCCAACAATATTATTCAACGCATGCATTCAACTGGTGTCCACATTATTAACATTCACTCAACCCCTGATACTCGACCGACTCATCACATTCATGACACCCATGACCGACACCACCACCGCAACCGTTGAACCCATTTGGAGGGGCTATCTATACGCCGGCGCTATGTTTGTGTCGCCAGTGTTGGCATCGGTGCTGAACGGACAGTACGATCGTCGGCAGGACCTGTTGCTCATGAAGATGAGATCAAGTGTCACAGCAGTGATCTACGAGAAGGCAATATAAATATACAACTGAGACAATACATGCAATGTATACTTACCCTCATCATTCACTTTATACCAGTGTCTACGGCTGTCTAGCGCTGGCCGTAAGGACTTCGCCACCGGCGATATCGTTAACCTGATCTCAGCAGACATGATATATTTGACCTCATTTTTTTTATTTTTTGAACAACCTATGGTTGGGACCGACAATTGTTGCAATTTCTACGTGGTTACTATGGGCGCAGTTGGGTGCGGCCAATTTGGTCGGCCTATCAGTGCTCGTACTGTTGATACCATTTAACTCATTTATGATAACCCGTGAGCACCGGTTGTGGGCGAAAATACTCGAGTTTAAAGACAAAAGAGTGGCCGCCATTACCGAGATTATCAATCACATCAAAGTGTTGAAGCTATACGGCTGGGAACCGGCGTTCATGAACCGAGTGTTTGGCCACAGGGCTCAGGAGTGCGCAGCGTTGAGCTCAGTAATGGTGATCGGCGTCATTTCTACTGCCATTGTTAGTGCCACACCATATCTGGTATAAAAACTATTTAATTTGTACAGTATTATCATCAATACTTACAATATTTATATTTTAGGTTAGTTTATGCAGTTTTACGGCATTCCTATACATGTCGGACCAGAATATTCTGGACCCGAATAAAGCATTTGTTTCCCTTTTGTTGTTTAATATTTTAAGTGAGTGTCGCATAAAATCAATGCTAATTTCTAATACAATAGCAAATACTGTAATAACATTGTAAATTGATTAGATGGACCAATTACAAAAATACCACCTCTGGTCACTTGCACTATACTCGTAAGTTATATAATAGTAAATAATAAACATTTAATTAAATGTAACATTTAATACTTTTATTATTGTTTTTAGTGCAGAGTTTCAGTGAAGCGAATGAATTCATTTTTAAACGCTAATGAAGTGAATGAGAGTTTTGTTGACCACAAACCCAATCAAAGGACTCCTATTATTGTTAAAAACGGTTCATTCAAATGGGATAACAATTGCAACGATTCTGTGCTCAAGAATATCAATATAGAGATAGAGAGTCAGTCATTGGTGGCAGTTGTGGGTCGTGTG